CAGTCCCAGTGGGATTCTTTCAATAATCGAACCACATGTCTCCGTGGAATCAGGTGACACTTCATCCTTTTAATACTGCGAAGGCTCCCTTTACAGTCCTTCAACAATCAAGGACTTTAGTGTACCTCTTTATTTTGTTTTATGGTATTATCCCATGGACTGTGGCTATCTGTGACCACACACACTGTATGTAAAGCACCATGGCTGTATCTGTCAAGCACAGACATTGTGTACAATGATATCTTCCTAACCTTACCTCCCTTACCCTATAGGATGAAGAGTGGATGAGAAACACTGTGCTGGGGAAAATTAAACTCTTTGAGTTAGTTTTTATGAAAATTTCTGCTCCCTTCTCACCATTTCTCATGACTAGTTATAATTTTAGAACATAAAAGAGAAAAGCATAAGAATAATCACCACTAAGGTGATTCTTGTTATAATTAATTTTCCAAATTTTGTTTTGGAATACAGAGAAGCAAAGTTTGAAAACAAAAGTTTTAAGACAATATTTTCCTACATAGGGACTACCAAGATTAGGAGAAACGGTCTTCCCCAAGGAAGAGCACACAAATTAATTACCCAATACCAAATGGTCAGCTTTGAAAACACATAGACAAGTAACATGATAAAACTGAGCAGGTTGTATTTAGGAGCATGTATGTATATACATATATGCATATAACAATAATTAATGAAAAAAGAGGCCATGACTTTGAAAGAGAACAATGATGGTATCAGGAGGGTTTGGAGGGAGGGAAGGGAAGATTTCAATTATATTAGAATCTCAAAACCTAAAAAATGACTTACTAAAATGAAGGAATAATATAATTTATCTTTAATGTTCATTTGTCTGAACTCTTCGGAGTATATCCCATGCTCATATCATAATTCTACCAGACATGGTGCCTGCTAGTGAAGACTAGTAGTTTTAGATATGTGTAATCCCTTGATCTGCCAAAACAAACAAACAATGAATAAATAGATTCTGATGAGCAGTGTATCCCGTGTTCCATGGCTGGTGAGGCATTTTGTAGTAAGGATATGAGAGCATCTGAATAACGGTGGAGATGTAGGAACTGGAAGGTGAATGCAAATGAGAAGACAGGGTGGCTTGCTATTCTAAATGCTGTACAATCCATTCCAGTAGAGAACTCTTATTTGTCTGTTTACCAGCCTACCAGGACACATATATACAAGTGATCATTTTTCTGTTGAAAACCACTGCCTAAAGGGATCAGACATTTGTTCTAATTACTTTGCTAATCATATTTTATAACCTTTTATAATTGCCTTCAAACTCATTCCACATATTTTTGAATGACTTTAATGATGATAAATTGTCAAACTTCAAAAGTAGATTAGGACTAGGTATCTTGAAAAATTTCCTGTAGCAGAAGACTTAGAGTGAGCAATAAAAATTTGAAAGATAAATAGGTATAAAGGGTTAAAAGAGATTATAAAATAGGAAAGGTTAAAGGAGAGGAAAGGGCAGAGTAGAGGAGAGAATACTGGGAGACAGAAATAACACTGAAAATTTTTAAAAAAGGCATATGGAAACCTACTGTAGAGCCTCTGTATACATACGTAAAAAAAGACTTAAAATGGAATCTCCCTTTTAGCAGGGCAACAGTATCCCTGTGAGATACCACAGGATAACAAAGAAGCCGATAGGGTTCTTGGTCAGTAAGATTCCAAAGACCTCCAAACATTATAGACTATTGCCAAGGCTGTTGGTTAATCCCTAGAACTTGAAGATATGATGCTGTTGCTGAAGACACCACACACCTGAGTCATAGAACATAGAGAAATTAAGCTTTTACTGATATAAAAGCTTCATTCTTACTGGATAGCTTTCATAGTGCTGGAAGGTGCTATGCACACCAATGGAAGTGAAAAGTAGTCATCAGTCTTATCCAGCTGTAGACCTTGTGAAATATAATGACTGGCTTCATAAGACATGCCCACCAGTATAATAGTGGCACAAATGTCACAAGGAATAACTAACCACTTTCCAGTTGGATTTAAGACCTGCTCCACCAGATGGGACCCATACCTGACACTATTATTGGATCAAGAATTTTAGGCTAGACAAGTCATAGACCATAGAAGAGAACTTATTATGATTATTCTGCTAAATGGACATAGTATTCAACCAGTTCCTAATGATAATCAATATACCCATAAATTAATGGATCTCTCAACCTGCATCTGAGAAACTTTTGTTTGCAATAGATGGCCAAGGTGCAGAGAATAAGAGAATTCAGAATGCCCAGCCTTAAAAGGTCATATCACCTTAAAAGGTCATATCATCTTCCTTCCTTCCTTCCTTCTTTCCTCCCTCCCTCTCTCCCTCCCTCCCTTCTTTCCTTCCTTCCTTCCTTCCTTCCTTCCTTCCTTCCTTCCTTCCTTCCTTCCTTCCTTCTTTCCTTCCTTCCTTCCTTTCTTCCTCCCTTCCTCCCTTCTTCTGTTCCTCCCTTCCTTCCTAGACTCAGGCATCATTGTGAAAGAGGGTAGAAAAGAGTGTAAGAGCCAGCATTGGTAAATGAGTACAAGGAAGTGTTATCTTCTGGACATAGTGGTCTAGCAGTAGTGACAGCCTGAGCAAAGCCTGTGTAAGCTCAAGCAGACCAATTTTCTGCATAGAGAGAGGAGCTATGCACAGAGTACTACTGATGAGCTATTGGTAATTGTCAGCTGCTGGGAGAAATAGGGTTATTTTTTCTAACAATGTATACCCTAATAAATTCACCATGACCTTGCTATAGAGCATGGCCACACACCCAAGTATACTTGGGCAGTATAAATTGATTTTGGTAGGAGAAAAAATGACACAAAGTTGGCTGAGTAGAGAAGGGGGATATATCTGGAATAAGTTGGAGGAAGGAGAGTGAACATGATCAAAAACCATTATAAAGAACTCTCAAAAAAGTAATAAAATACATAGAAACAGGTTCAACTGTATGAAATTACCATCTTTCTATGTAATTTTCAGTTGAATACTGACAATTCCATGTGCTTCAACCCACGAAAAAGTTCAATAACAAAAATGTAGGAGGAATCTCCAAGTTGTCAAATACTGTTTATTTGGATTCTGATGCTACTTTGAAGGTGTTGAAGGGACTCAGCATAAAGACTGTCAAGCATGTAAGAGTAGAGTAAGACTGGCCTGAGAAAAGCAGAAACAGAAAATGCACCACTGTTACAAAGCTAAGATTTTTTTTTAACATTTTATTTTCTAGTACAAGATGGATGAGAAATATTATTTGCAAAGAGAAATGAAAATTATATTTGCTTAGGGTAGATAGAAAGTAATATTTAACCAGAAGGCTATTTTTGAGTGGGTTTGAAATTTGAATTCTCAAAATCTCCAAGTTAAGAAATTCATGAACTTAAAATATGAAGTTAGCTTCTCTCACTGCTTCTGAAAATGGAGGGACAGCCTATGCTGGGTCAGTTGTCATTCAGATCACAAATAAACTTAGAATGAAATATTAAAAAGATGCTTCTTGCTGTAGATATAACTCAACAGATACAGTACCTGCCTAGCTTGCACAAAAACCCTGGCTTCAATCTCAAGGAGGAGATAAACCAGGCAGCATGGTGGCCCACGTCTATAATCCTAACATTTGGGAGGTAGATGCAGGAAGATAAGGAGTTCATAGCACATTTGAGGTCAGTCTAAAATATATGAGAACCCTGCATCACAAAAACAAAGAGGATGGTGTGAGGTTATTGGAACAGTCGGTAGAAATTACAGTGAAGTCAATACTCAAAAGAATAAAATTATATTTGGTTGGCTTCTAGGTTTTATTTATTTTCTTTCAAGACTGACCATTATTTACTCACTATAAAGTAGCTAAAACTTAACAAAAATATAAAGATTTGTTAATAAAAAAATCAGAGAAAAACACTTGAGGTCACATAGAAACTGGAATTCAAGGGGAGGGAGCGATACTGGAAGTCACCACAAAAGAGAGCCCCAAGTGCTGCTTCATAAACCATGGGTATCACTTATTCCAATCATAGTATACAACAACTGAGTAGAGACTTCGGCTGCTACTCAGTATTAGGGAGACAGAATTTGAAGCCAAAGACTAAAGGAAGGGCTGATAGATGGCTCATGACGCAAAAGTGCCTGCTACCAAGACTATCACCTTGAGTGAGAGTCAGCTCTCATGGAAACAGCCATTGTCGGAAAGAATTAGTCTGCTGACTTCCACACTTACACCCCAGCATACACTAAATAAAATACAATGTTAAAAAATTTAAAACTAAATGAAAATAGTATTTGTGGAATCATAACAGAATTGTGAGTCTTTTTGCATATACCATTGCCTCTAGTTCGTAATTTTTAGGCATACAAACAGGATAATGCCATCCATATTCAAAGGAAAATACAAATTCCTAGCAACAACTCTAAGGCTTTGCAGATGTTGTAATTAACTAACATGGACTCAAGCTGTTGTTAAGATGTATAAGAAACAAGCCACATTCAATCAGTTAAAATTTAAAAATCGAATAAAAGAAAAATAGAAAATATAGAACAGATGTAAAAAAAAAATAAAAACAGCCTCCAGTTTTTACCATTACTACACCTTACATTAGAGACACTGATTGCAACACTAGGCGGTGGTGGCTCACGCCTTTAATCCCAGCACTCGGGAGGCAGAGGCAGGTGGATCTCTGTGAGTTCGAGGCCAGCCTGGGCTACAGTGTGAGTTCCAGGAAAGCCACAAAGCTACACAGAAAAACCCTGTCTCGAAAAACAAAAACAAAAACAAAACAAAATAAAAAAAAAACAGATACTGATTGCAGAGAAGAAACTGGACAGATGTGAAATGTGTCTTCCTGTCTGAGAATAGCTTACCATATGATGTCATTAGTTTTTTTCCCCCCTTAGAAATATTGAGATTTATTTACAGGACTTCTTGGTAAGGACATCACCACAGCATTGTAATCGATGAGAAACCTCATATGAGAATTGTTTCATTTATCACTAGGCACTAGATGAACCAGCCAGGACTGAAAGCAACTCCAAGGCCAGCGTGTTAGATCTACCAGTGGAGGTAATGACTTCAGCTTGCCCTGCTTTGGTGTGCAACCCCCAAACTCAATGCTAACCCCGTTCCTGGTTTCAATTCTTCCAGTTGTGTTTCCCTGCACAGCTCAGGCAGCAAACTGAAGAGCTCTGTGCTACTATTGATAAGGTCTTGCAGGACTCCTGGTCTATGGTAATGCCGTAGAATAGAATGGGCTGTTCAAACCTTTGCTTTGCTTTTCTTCATTTCCCTCTGTCTTGCCACGATGCCTCATAGGCTTGTTCTTCCCTTTCCTTTTGTTCTTCTCTTTTCCAGCATTCTTCTGATTCTCCTTCACGGCCCCCACAGAAACTGTTGGGTTCTGAAACCATCAAAGTATGTATATATTTATTATGGATTACTGCCCCATTCCATTTCCTGCACAGATGATTTCAAACTGTGTTTTAAGGCTCAGTAGTAATTTGAGAAACCAACTCAATAACTAGTAACTTGGCTACGAAAGTACAGTGTAGTGTTGACTTTTGCTTCTGTTTGTTTACATGTATATACATAGGTCAGTCTGCACTGTAAAGTTATTTTTAACTGTGGATCAATTTCAAATAGTGTGCAAACCAATATTTGTAAAGCCACAAAATTTGGCATTTTGTGGATTTACACGTCGTTTGTAGCTTATATTAATCTTGTACCACAGCTTCAGTATCAATGTAATTTATGTACACTTAAAAGTGTAGAATTGGGATATGAAGTTGACTAAAGCAACACTCTAGTAGCTTTCACATGGCTGTTAATTCTTCAGTTCTTTCCTTCTTACTGATTGACTTGATTTCACTGTTCTGTGACTTGAAGTAGAAATTTGGAGACATTAGCCTGTCAGAGTTGTTCTATATGTTTGTTTCTTTCTTAGGACAAAGTATATAGCTCCCTAGCTTAATTACCTTCCCATGCTTAATGTAGCTCTCTATTCATCCCAATTTCAATATGCGTTTTGTTTTTCCTTTATGTGCACCAATATTTCTGTTATCATTTTCAGCCTTGTTTTCTCTCTTTCAATGACTCCAAATACTTTTGGCATAAACTGGTTACCATGGGACATTGAAGCGGGTTTTGAATGTACAGATGCTCATGATTTAAAAGAGTAGTCCTCATTTTCAGTTGTAACATTACAGACAAATACGAATCACTAATAGGCTTACTTATTGTCCTTGCTGTTATGATGTTAGAGTTTCATAAGTAATCTGGACACCACCCCTTGTCAGATACTTTGGAAATAATTTCTGCTATTTGGTGTGTGTGTGTGTGTGTGTGTGTGTGTGTGTGTGTGTGTGTGTGTGTGTGGTATTGGCAGTTACCTTTGCTTCAAGTATTTATAATGTGCCAACTATGGGCTTGGGCTTTGTGGCCTAGAAAGATAAAGACAAGCCAGGTGGAAATCCTAAGGAGATTACTATAGCTGTAAAAGAAGAGATAAAATTTACTCAGATCCACACATGGAATGGGGTTACAAAGACCACTGATAATTCCTCCAGACAAAGGCATAGTAATGTATGAATTTCCTGAGGCAACATAACTTGTTTCTGTGAAGATATTGAAAAAGTCAGTGCATTTGAAGTTTAGTGAACCAGGTACGAACAGTATAAAATTAGTTTGAGAATATATTTGTCATGGTATGAAATTTTGATCTCAAGGAAAATAGGACACAAAAATGATCATTCTGGCTGTGGGGAAGAGACTTCTGAGGAAGTCATGAGTACAGTTACTGATGGTGGACCAAAAATGTGAGTTCAAAGGAGCCATAAGTAAGCAAATGGGTTGGGGTTTGATGACATTCAGATATGAGCAATAAAGGAGAGGAGTCATGAATGAGCCCTTCATCTCTCATACCCAGGGCAGATGACAGTGAAGTAGATACAGCATAATGGAAAGGAGAGAGTGTGGAAATTTAGATAGTGTCCATATTTGAATTGTATGAATGGAGTCATTGTGTCTGCAGCTAATGGGAGAGATGTGGGCACCGCATACTGTGAGCCTGTACAGAATTCCAAGGAACAAAATGTTACAGGTTGGTAGAGGTGGAACCAGTGAAGCATAGTGAAAGGCTATGTTAAGAGGGGAATCAGGGAAGTGTGCTATCATGAAAGCTGTTAAGAGTGTTAAGAGACTAGTTGTTTATTGCTATCAAAGAGGTAGGAAAATAGTAAGTCTAGAAGAGACTTTATGAGACTTGACTTGTGTATTTTGAAACTATATTACTGATGCTTATAGGTAAATCATTCTCAAATCTAAAATTTTATAACGTTGGTAGAATATAATCTTTTTGAAAGATTTTCTTATGTGCTAAAGTAACCTTATATTTATAATTTTTAAAATGGGGTTTCCTCCATGTTTTTTCTTCTAGATTTTTATCTTTTATCTTTTTCTATACCTTTGCCCAGTTTTCTTCAGGCTCACACATTTCCATATATCACTTTCTATTCAATGTAAGATTCTGTTTATTTGGGAATTTAAGTCACTTACAGTTATTGTAATATTTGTTATATCAGTACTCACTTCTGTTAACATTAATTAATATTTTCAACTTAGATCTTTTTGTCCTGTTTGGTATTTTGATTAATTTTTACTTTCCTTTTGGTAACTTGACATTTATTAATTTAAAATTAAAAAAATTTTAGTTTGAAAATTTTATATTACATTTTCTTATTTTTGTGGTTGCACACACACATTATGGAGAGTAATTGTTGAATTTATGTAAAGCTCATAAAAGTCATTTTCAATATTATATAAAATAGTTTTTCACCTTTTAATTGTTTTTCACCAAACCAAAAGCACAGATACATACTATTTTTAAATATATTTTGGAATTGGATTTTAAAGTTTTTTAAATTTCTTCTTTATTTAGAGTTTTAAAAAATTTCTATTTAATTTAGATCTTTCATTATCATTCATTCATATACTCACTTTTACTTTTTGTGGTTGTGTTGATCATAGTTTCAACTGAATCTCTTTGTGTATGTTTTGTGAACTTCATCTATGATAAAAATCTTCATGTTGCTCTTTCACTTAAGCTTGGTTCCTGGGCCGATAAGATGGCCCAGTGAGTAAAGACACTGTCCCCCAAGTCTGACAGCCCGAGTTCTACCTGCTGGACACATACGATGGAAGGAGAGGTCATTTGACCTCCGTGTGCATGCTGTGCCCCACCCTACACACTACATTGTAATTAAAATTATAGTTTTGCTAAAAAATAGGATAATGGCTCTTTTCTTTGCCCTCTGTCTGTTTATATTCTCTTTCTCATACTTATATTTTGTCACCACGATATTTGTAACTGCTAGAGAGTGACCATTTTCAATCTGGCTCTGTAAACACTGTGAATATTGACTCTGGTTATGACATTACTAATTTTTCCTATAGGTGTCTAGGAGTGCTTTTCATTTTTATGTATTTCTACTGTTACTATCTATGGCCTTTCATCTAGAGTCTTTAGACTTCTCCCCTAAATTCTGTAGATAATTTTTCTATAGGTGTATCTGATACCTAGAATAGCAATAATAATTCCCAGTACTAGGATTTGTCAACATTCTCAAGCTTTCCTCATTATTTTCAGAATAAGAGGAATGTCTACCTCAGAATCTAGATGGTTCCCATTGTGCATTGTGGGGACCCTGAACCTCCTTCTGCTTCCCTGCACCTCTGCTTACAGCTCTTTTCTGGTCATTGTCCTGGTTGTCACTACTGAGGAAGAATTCAGCAGAGGAATAGCAGAACCTGTCAGTCGGTGTAACCATGTAATAATCAGCTTCCTTTTCTGCAGCCAACACAAAGGAGCATAGTGACACAGTTTACTTCCTAACTATGCTCCTTTGCTTGCCTTGCCCTTATGATGCAAAAATTGTAAGACAGCAGAGACAAAATATCTAAATGTCACCAGTTAAAAAACCATAGAATAAAATAATATGTACCATTATTTTGAAAAAGATAAAGCAAATGGTTAGTAATGGGATCAAGGAAGACATTTTTGTTTGATTTTTGAGGCTTGGAATGACAAGATCACATTCTTGTACTGGTGGCTTTTGTGTTAGATGAATGTGAGGTGCTGGCTATACAAAAGAATAGAGATACTGCAGAAAAAAAAATCTATCTACAATCAGATCTTGATTCAAAAAGGAATGTGTTATGGTCGAACTCCCTCCCCCAAGAATTAATAAGTAGAAGTAATCACTGATGTGGTGTTATAATGTGAGGCTTTTAAAGTGTGACTAGGTCATAGGGATTGAGTCTTAATTGATGGGATTATAAAAAAAAAGACCAGAGAGAAGCTTCTTACCTCTTCTACCATGTGAGGAAACAAGAATTTTCAATATGTGAATGAGAAAACAGGACCTTACCATACAATGAACCTATCTAAGCTTGTTCACCCTTTAGAACTCAGAAAGTTAAATATCTGTTGTTTACAAACTACCCTGTCCATTGCATTTTGTATAAGACAATCAGACATTATTCTTTGATAAGAAAGAGAGAATGGCCTTCACTGTAGTAGAACAGAAAATAGAAGTCACGAGTCCAGATGTAAGAATGGTTATGCTAAAGCTGAGAAAATAATTTCCCGAACAATGTTCTTATTTCACAACAAACACCTTTCAATGCAGTAAGTTTAAGACAAAAAATAAGCACCATATTTTACCCGTTCCTTCTCTGCCTTATTATTTCTTGTTCTCCTCTGCTTGCTCATCTGCCTTTCCCAACTGACCAATGTAGGGGGTGCATAGAGGTCAGTCCCTAGGTTTCTCATCTGTTAGTATTGTCACCCAGCCTCGCAAATTCACATACATGTTGACAGCTTCAAATGTATGCCTCTGGTCCAGTATTATTTCCAGTTTTAGATTTCTAACTATTTAGTCTTTGTTCCATTTCAGAATGAGAAAATCTTTCAAGCTCAACACAGATGAAGATGTAGTCAAGACTTTTTCTACCAAGTAATCACACCCACCACTTTCCCACATTTATTGATAGTAGTCTTTCATTTGCTTTAGTCCATAAACTTTGCATGAAGTTTTTCTCTTTATGTCATGTTCAACACCCTTTTTTCACTATAGTTTCAAAACACCTGTAGAATGTGATTATTTCATAGCCTCTGTGCTATTAAACAATGGTCATTTTTTGCTGGCCAGCACAGTAGCATGGCTGTCATGTTACTACATCACTCTACTCTGTTCTTTTTTTCCAGAGCTGAGGACCAAACCCAGGGCCTTGTGCTTGCAAGGCAAGCACTCTACCACTGAGCTAAATCCCCAACCCTCTACTCTGTTCTTAACATGCCACACAGAAATACTGTTAAAGAAATATGTAGTCAAAGTCTTTTTAAGATGCTTTATTATCAGGTCTCTGAACATTGTCATGATCTGCCCTTCCCTGGCATTCTCTACTCTGGCACTCTCTACTCTGTGTTTAGCCCTGGTAGCCTCTACTATGTCTTGAATGCCCTAAACATGATACCACTTAGTGTATTTAGTTATCTGATTCCAGAGCTTGTAGAGTGAACAATCAAGAATAACCATCATGAAGAACAAGTTTTGGGTCACTCTTCAGGCTCAAATCTGTTCCTGGCAAATGTTGTTCTAACCTCAGAAAGTAGACCTAAGAGAACAAATATTGGGGGATTACCAAGGCATATGGAGTGGACACAGGTGAAGCTGATGGCCATTTATTTAACACGAAATCAAGGTGTGGTTTAGAGTTTCCACAGAAACATTTTACTTCTCATGTACAAGTGTGAGATAAGTGGATCAGAGAGACCATGTAGGGCTTCTGTTCTTATTTGACAAGTGAATTTGCCACATAAAGAGAGGGAGGCAAGAGAAATGGAAATATTAACCATAAGACCATGAAATAGATGGAAGTGAAGAACTTGAACTAGAATCAAGTTAATAATTTAGAAATCCCACTGTAGCATAGCTGATAGCAGAGGTATTAGAGACATGAAGGTATGGGTAAAGAGGTAGAGTTTTGAGAGAGGGACACTTGAAGTTGAAATTTCATAGAGCTTTTATGTTATTCTTGGAGGTAAAGTTGGGTTTGGTCTTTAAAGTAAATGATTGAAATGGGATGAATGTCTTTGGGTATAAGGGGCTCAAAGAACAGACAGAACAGAAATTTCTAAAGAATTCTGAGACAGCCAAAACTATAAAAGAAATGTGATGAGGAACTATAGGACTCATGGCTAACATCAATAAATAAGAAGAAATTGCCAGAGTTTTGACAATGAAGGGGTACTAATTTTATAAAGCAAATTTCGAAGATAAATAGAATTTTGTATAGATCAGTAGGATTCATGGTTAGAAAGACTCAGTAGAGAAAAAATTCATTCCTGTCTTAAATTCTGAAACTTTCATTATTCACTAGTTAGTGAGATGCATAATTCTTTTTATTTTCATGCAGACTCCTACAACTCATCCAAGAGCAGCTGGTCGAGAAACCAAATATGTAAGTATCTTTCTAACTATGCTTGCTACTTTTTCAATGGAGTCCTGTACATATTTTAAAGAGAACTCAGCTCTACAGAAATTATAATGGAATGTATTCATTTTTTTCATAAATTGAAAGGTGTAAGAGGCTATGATTGGCTCAAGCATAGGAAATTAGATTATGTCAGGTGTACAGCATCAAGTAACCTTATCAACTGAATTCCTTCTTAAATGAATTATTGTTTAATCCCCTTAGATAGACAAAACATAATTGTATTACCTGAGTTTTGTACCTCCACTTATCAAAGCTCAGATGGCATTTATTTTCATAAGCACTGCTTGAGTTTAAAAAATAGTCAATTCATGTCCGTGACACACTGAGGTTAGTCCACATCCAAAGGAATCACCAGTTTAATTGAATGGCCAGTTTGTTGCTTTCCTATGTTTAAATTATCAAGTAATTTAGTGTCTGTTTATGAGAAAAACTAAACCATAGAGCTGGAGAGATGCATTAGGGGGTGAGAGCACTGGCTGCTCTTGCAGAAGACCCAGGTGCATTTTCCAGTACCCACCTGGTAGCTCACAACTGGCTGTAACTCCAGTACCCACCTGGTAGCTCACAACTGGCTGTAACTCCAGTACCCACCTGGTAGCTCACAACTGGCTATAACTCCAGTTCCAAGGAATCTGGTGCAGTCTTTCTTTCTTTCTTTCTTTCTTTCTTTCTTTCTTTCTTTCTTTCTTTCTTTCTTTCTTTCTTTCTTTCTTTCTTTCTTTCTTTCTTTCTTTCTTTCTTCCTTCCTTCCTTCCTTCCTTCCTTCCTTCCTTCCTTCCTTCCTTCTTTCTTTCTTTCTTTCTTTCTTTCTTTCTTTCTTTCTTTCTTTCTTTCTTTCTGTCTTTCTTTTTTCCTTTTTTTTGGCCTCTGGCAGGCTTTTGGCCTCTGGCAGGCAGCAAGCACTCACGCAGGGCACATACATACAGTCAAACATGCATATGTAAATATACAAGTCTTAGAGAAGAACACTACACCAACAGATATGTAGTCATGAACTCCCATGCTTCAAATGATGTTGGGTTGACTTAGCACACGATGTACATGGAACCTTACCCACTTTGCACAATCATGGAACCTTACCCACTTTGCACAATCATGTCATGATTGTGGTCCTCATCTGCTCTGCACAGAAGTATTTTACTACACATGAGACAGTTTCCTAGCATGCATTGAGCATTTAATCTAAAATAAACCACTAAACTACTCCTTTTACAGCACATGCTGTTTTCTCTAATTTGTACTCTTCATCATTATCAAGGATAAATAGTTATTAAATGTGTATTGCGTGCCATGCCAACATTGCACTTCACACCTTTCTGCCTTCGTCTGGATCTCTCTAAGGTAAAAAATAAGCTCAGTAAAATCATTACATTTTATCATATTTGGGAAATGATGTTTACAGGATGTGGCAGGAACACGGTTCAGAGCATTTCCTGGAAGTGTTTTCTGTCCGTTTCCATTATTATTGGAAATCCTTTGGAGGAGACACAGGTAGGCTAGACCCTGGTGGGAACTGTTGCTCCTGGGGAAGATCACTTACTTTATTTTACCATGCCTCCATTTTCATCCATAAGATAGGGGATGGTGATAGTGTTCCCATTTGATTAATTTAAGGTTTATAGGGTCCTTATGTGAAAAGCCCTTAGAGCAGTCTCAACACACTGGAGTTATTCATATATCATAGCCCCCTCTTTCTTTCCCCTTCATTTTTGCATTTATCTACACCTTCTCCCTTTCCTTGCACCCATTTAGTGTTAGAAGACTAGAAGCCTCATGATTTTGATTCCTTGATTCTTTAATTGGGCAAAAAGAAAAATCTCTCTCTCTTTCTTTCTCTCTCTCTCTCTCTCTCTCTCTCTCTCTCTCTCTCTCTATATATATATATATATATATATATATATATATGTGTGTGTGTGTGTGTGTGTGTGTGTGTGTGTGTGTGTGTGTGTGACATGGATTTTGTGATCATAAGGACTGGTCCCCAAAATAAGCACCCCAAATCCTTTTCTCACTACCCTTTCTCATCAGTTGCTGGAGTTTCATGAAGTGTTCCTGATTAGACCACCTTACAGGCATGTTTGGCAGCTGCTAGCATCTGGCTAACCCTCCTAGGGGAATTGTCTTAATTTGTATATTTTTTTTAACGTGTGCGAGTCTGTAGTACCTGCACTTGTGTGGGTGCGGAGACCAGAGGTTGACATCATGAGTTTCCTCAGTCACTTTCCACTTTAATTACCAAAGCAGAGACTCCCGCTTGAACTGGGAGCTTGACACTTTAGCTAGTGTGGGTAGCCGGCTGGATCCAGGATCGCCAGTCTCTGTCTCCTGAGTGCTGAGGTAATCGGTGACTTGCCAAGCCCGGTGAATGGACAGGTAAGGCCTGGGGGCTTCAGGTTTTCACAGTAATCCTTTCACTCAGTAAGTCATCTACCCAGGCTCTTAAAAGGTTCTTTATTATTATACCCAATCAAAGGAGGTTATTTTTCCTCTTTATAGCTTGTGAGAGCCATTGAGTCATTTTAAGTTAACTGTGAATCATTGAACAAATTCAGGATTAGATTAGAACAAACATAACTTTGATTCTACTAAGATTCTTGACCTTAATTAAAGTTTGTTTCTTGAGCAAGAAGCTCTGCCTTTTACTCTTTTAAAACATAACGGGGAGCGTGGGGAAAAAAAAAACACATAACATTAAATTGTGTGTGGCATCTCAAATATGTCCATGTCTTTGGAAGATATGTCTTTTGGAAGAGGACATCTTATGATGGCAGATAAATCCAGTTCTTTGGTGTCAACTTATAGATAACTCACACCAACACATGGCTGCTTTTACCGTAATTACTAAGTGACAGCTGATGCATTTACTCTGAGAAGAAAATAACACAATTTTAGGACAGAAGTTCAGTTTAGCTTTAGGCTGTCCTCTTACATCAGCCATCTGTCTTAAATGCAGTATATTCTGACTTTTAAAAATGAGTAAGGCAGTAATTCATTTTTGAAATTCTAATATAATGGGTAAAACACATGACGTTTTATTAAAGTACAAATTGAATAGTTTTTACTTATTAATTTCTTGTTTTAATTTTCTCTCATGTCCTGTCAGAGTAACTTTGAGAAGTCTGTAGACTAACATTTTAGAATTTCACTCTCTTGGGGAAATTAGGCACGTTCATGACAATATACATGTCTAGACTCCAGGTTCCATTAACTTTGAAAAGTCCTAGATTTGGTTCAGAAACAAGGGCCATGCAGTTCACCAGTCTGTGTACTACTGAGGGGGCAGAATAAGGGAAGGATGAAAGTCAGGAAGAGAACTGTATTGCACTTGAGGATATTCTGAGCACGTTAGCACCAAACACACTAAGTCCCTAGTTTCAAATATAATCCAGGGATCATTAGTAGTGGAAAAACTAGTAGCATTTCCTAACTCTGTTGTCCAATTTCCACTTTTCTTCATTGATCTGACAAATATTTATTGGACATCTATCATGTATAAATTATTGAGGGGTCACTGGGGTGAGTGAAGTGAACACAATAGCAAGGTTCCTCACTTCTGAGATGTAAATGCCAACAGAGGGCATAGAAGTAACTAAAATACCAGATGAGCGATCCACTTTCTTATGGAGATAGGGGAGAAATGGCCAGAGAATGGAATCATATTAAAAGAGACAGATGAGCGGGCACTTCCTGCTGTATCCGCATGTTAGTGTGCTCATGGGATTTTCACCTTTCCTGTGGTGATTGTAACAGGTTAATTAAGTAATCAGGAGTTTTATGAATAATTGTTCTGTGTGGGTCTTGTGTGGAAGGTTGTCCTTCTCAGAAAGAGAGAAAGAAAAGTGTTGGAGAAGAAGAGGAGGAGAAGGGAGGAAGGGACAGAGGGGAGGGAAGAAGGAAGGAAGGAAATAAGATAAAGGAGTGGAGGGAAGAAAGGAATGGTATCTGTAGACAATGATGTTCCTTCGGTCCTGGCTAAATGTCTGACTATTGTTTACAGTCTGTTTTAGGATCAGTCTGGATCAATAAAATGCTCGTTTTGTTTAGATTAATTAAAGTTTTATTATTGCTTCTCCCACAGTATGCTTGAATTAAAGGCTATTTTAAAGTAATTTAGCAGAGACATTCTTAAGCACAATAGAAGTAAAATAGGACTAACAACATATTGAAATGTACCGTTAGGCCTTTTGTACAATTGAATAGATCAGTTTATCAACAATATTTCATTAAGCTTTTAAACAGACACTAAATTCAGCAATAATAGCTAGCAGCAAATAAACTTTGATTGGTTCATTTAAACCATCCATGAGTCCTGTGAGGTCAAAATTTCGAGCTACCCCCTTTTCTTATTCTAGTGCTGGGAATTGAACCTAGGCACTTATATATGGTAGGTCACTACTCTACCACCGAGCTGCATCCCAGCCTTCCTTCTGAGACAGTTTCTTTCCTCTGTGTGAAATAATAATTTTTATATTAAAACACTATTTTAGTTTTCATTCAGTCTCTTGGATTTGGAAGAAAAAAATTTTCTCTGCTTTCATTTGCCTTTATTATTTTTATGACCTGTCACCCATATAAATCTATTTCAGTCATGTAATTTAAAAATCACAGCATGCGTTCTTAGTAAAATTCAATCTTAGAAAATGGAATATTTGTGCTTCTAACGAATTTATCAGAAACCCTTGGTTTTGGAGTAATGTTCTATTTGATAATAACTAATTTCATGAACTTTTCACATATCATGAATTACTTTTAAGTTCCATAAAAAATGGTACAGCCTTATTAAATATATGATAGTTTATAGGTAAAAATCTCATTTTAATGAGCTCAAGGAACAGAAAATGTCATTACCGTGGAAGGATATTGATTCCAAAATATCACAATATATTGAAAAATGTGTCAAACCTTACTAAGAATATTTTCCATTTTATACACAGATATTCAAATAAAGGTCATCTTCTCTCACTTCTGCAGCTCACATATTCTTCTTGTTGCTATGCTTGGCGGTGTTGCTATGCTTGGAGTGACTCAGGTGCTGCTCAGTACCAGGCATAGATTTTGGGGGAAACGGAGACTTAAATCCCACTTGGGGTCCAGGTCTGCTTCCAGAGGCTGAGGCCAGAGGTTGATGAGTTACTGGAAGAGTGGTACACAATGAAGGCAGGAAATTCCACTCTACCAATTACTTCCATGTGTTCTTCTTCCTGTTCAGATGAGCTTCCAGAGTGCATTTGTGTGTGAAAAGGGCCGAAGGAGGAGTGGGAGTTACCATCGGGCTCTGCTCCACTAGAATGGAGAGGACACAATAGGTTTTATGTTTTATATTCATGAGAAGACATAATTTTGTGTAATTTTAAGGTTTCTCCAATATGGGTTCTGAGGAAATGGAGCTCCAGACAGCAAGAAGGGGCCTGGTGGCTCTTTATGATTTTGGTATTATGTCTTTGGAAAGCAAAATTAGTTTCTCCCAAAACTGGCTGGCATATCTGGGAACCTCTATGGTCATTTGTCTTTCAGACAGTCACATCTTCACTTTGTAGTCTCCGCTCTTTTAGTCCCTGTATAACCTAATTGTAAGAAAGGAATGGTTGCACATATTTCTGTTGTCAGCACTTAGAGGCCGAGGCTGCAAGGTCATGAGCTTGAGCCCTATAAAACACACAAACAACACCCCCCCCCAAATAAAACCAACCAACCAAAAAATACAACTAACAGAATTTCTTTGACGTTACAAATGTATCTTTACTGAAAATGTGCTCTACTATTTTATACAAATTTATACTTTTTGATTGACAAATACTTTTATATTCATGGAAAACAGTGTGATGTCTCATCTGTGCATACATTATAAAAACTTTGATCAAATTAATCAATATATATGTATATATATGTCCCTACCAAATTATAATTTTTGTATGTGATAAGAATTTTAAAAGTAGACTTTAGTAGTTTTGAAGAACATGTTATTTGTAACTACAACCCTAGACAGTGCAGTTGGTGACTCACACGCTCAGCATGAATGAAGTGTCATGTAGCCTTCCTTTAGCATCATCTTTTATCTTCCCTCTGCTGGGCCCACCCATGTCATCCCTAGCCTCCAGGCACATCACTGTGAAGTACGTAACATTATTAGGAAAAGTGTAAAATACTAACTAGTTGCAAAGATCTGATCACCAGACAAAAGGAGTAAAATACAGGAACCAATGACAAAGAGATAATATTAACAAGAATTTCTAAAGAATTTTGGAAGCAAATTATTTTCATTCCCAATTCCGGGGATTCCTGTTACACTATTCTCTTAATATAAGTCTGTTTTGAAAAAAATCTGCATTTTTTTTATTTTGGTGTAAGTAAACATAAATATCAACAATAGTCTTTGTTTAAATAAAATATGGATTGAACAAATAGACGATACTATCTAACCTTGAAGAATCATTGGTATCATGTGGTAGTGCTTATATTATTAAGACAAGAAGAAAGGCAGTATCTACCCTACTATGCGAACTAAAATGCGCAGGATGTGTGCCACAATGCTCAAAAGAACCATTTCTTGGTGCCATGCTTTGTTTCAATAATTTCACTAATATCCATCATAATTCTATTTTTAGGCAAATCTTTTATCATCATCTTCTACAGCATCTGAGAGTCAACTGGTATGTATCTTGTTCTAAGTTGTTTACCTCCTTTGAACATTCTTATTTCTCAAGACAACTTCTGCTGAAAGAAAGTGAAGAGATAATAAGTTTGCTTACTTGTCTAACAAAATTTATTGATGTTTTAGTGAAGTCACACGATGGCTGCTTTTTAGGTGACTAATACATAAAAAAAATTTATAAACCAAGACTACCACTAACTCTGAGCAGTGGTATTACAAGAGATTGAATTGAGTCAGAAGAAAATGCGGTTTGAGTTTGCAAAGGAGATCACTTCCTGATAAGAGGGATCCAAAAATAGTTCAAGGAGATCAATACAGATAATATGGGGGTAGCTTCTGGATGTGTGGGGATGAAGGGGACTGTCTCCTTTGTAAATTCAACAGAACAACCAGAATCTTCAATCATTCACTACCCAGACCCTCCAGGATAGAATCAATGCTTTCTGACACAGAGAATGAAGCAGTAGCCATAGAAACAAACATTGCAGTTACATCATAAAGTTGACTAGTTTCCACTTTAGATCTGGAAATATTATAATTCTTTTAATTTTAAAATAATTCCTATTTGTTTCTTGAGAGCAATGTTTAGAAGTCAAGAGTGGTTGACCATGCTCATGTAGAAATTCATTCACCACAACATACAAAAGATATATTTTTAGATGTTGATTGATAAAATGCATGTTTGTGGATTGTATTCTACATACACGATATTAAAAATTCTATTTCAAAGGAATACTTGAAAATATACATACATTTAAGTATCAGTTTTATAGAATGAGGTATATCACAAACAAGTTATAAATACAGTAAAACCCACTTAAAAAATCTATTAAAATATTCTGTGTTTCTGTGTATGTATTCTCTAAGAGATATGAAAAATATTACTTTGACTTAATGAGGATGTCTTTGTATTTAATTTAGACCAGTTCTTTAAGGAGTCCAAAGCATGTCTTAACTAAGTTTTAATTTGAGATTTCTTCTGAGGTATAGATGCATTTATAAAGACGTTACAATCAAGAAAATCACAAAAAGTATTGGACTGACACAATCATTCGGTCAAATCATTTGATTTCACCTTGTGACATTTATCCTATATTTAAGATTGCCCAAAACAGATTAAACCAGAAAATAAATATATACATATAGTATCTTATTCTTCAGTGACATTATATCTGATTATAATTTTTTTATTTCCATAAAAAGGTTACCATCATATTCCATGATCAACATTCTTGGGATTCAATTTAGAAAATAGGAATACATAGGAACAATTTTGAAAAATAAAATCACTATAATCACACACACACACACACACACATATATATATGAGTTAATATTTATATGAATTTATAATGCATATGTATTGATGATATAACAAGCAGTTGCATAAATATCTGTCTATATGTGTATACATGTAAATGTGTCTAGCACATAATAAATATTAGAAAATAATATATGTAAGAGTTAAATAACATGAATAAATGTATCACTTTGGAATAAAATAAGCAGTTACTGTGACAATTATTTGAATCAACTATAGGACAGAAATATTGTAAGCTTATGTAAGTGAAAATATGCGACAAATTGTCATACTGGCACAAGTTTAATATCAATCTCAAATGTAGAGATTTGACTTTTGAATGATAAAGTAATTTCAAGCTTTAAAAAATTTTTAACCTGACCGACCTACTGGCTTGTTGTCGTTACAAGTATGCATCTCCAAAGAGTCGTGACTTCAGCTCTTAAAATATTTGCATTCTGGATTTAGGGTCTAGCTCAATGTTGAAGTACTTGTCTAGCATCCATGAGACTCATGTTCAGTCCCCAGCACTTCAAAACACAAGCAGTGTGTGTGTGTGTGTGTGCCCATGCACACACATTATGTATGTTGTTTCCATTGTTTTTTTCTAGGAGCCAAATGATGTAATACTGAACTTGAGAAACTATTTTGGTACTCTGATGAGACTCACCCACAGTATTAGCTTCTCCTCTTTTAATCACCAATATATTAGTTAACAACTGGAAAGGAATCTCTCACTCTAAGTGGAGGTTGGAATAAGGACTGTGCTAGCCTTAAGGGATTTTTATGAGACTCATATAGCACCACAAGCTGTATTCGATATGGTCCTGTAGAAAATGAAGATATTATGATTGCACTCCAAAGCCCTAGATCATCAAAAGATATGAGAAGCCGGCCGGGCGGTGGTGGCGCACGCCTTTAGTCCCAGCACTCGGGAGGCAGAGCCAGGCGGATCTCTGTGAGTTCGAGGCCAGCCTGGACTACCGAGTGAGTTCCAGGAAAGGCGCAAAGCTACACAGAGAGACCCTGTCTCGAAAAACCAAAAAAAAAAAAAAAAAAAAAAAAAAAAAAGATATGAGAAGCCATTTTCATAGGCATCGAAGTGAAAGCTGCAAGAGTCTAATTAGATCATCTAAGGTCATAGCATTAATGTTTATCCTTGTTGTGTGTGGTTTTCAAAAGGAATTATTGTTATTGATTTTTAATAGTTCATGAGGCTTAAGAAACCTCTGTTGAGTAAATTAAGAAATTGGCCTCTGGAGAACTCTTCTCTCCATTGACCACCTGCATGGTCTGGCTCCTCCTGAAGTTTTGCATTGTCTGCTAAATATGAGAACTTAATGAAAAGGTGCAGACAGGGTGAGGGCAGACTGAGCAGGGGCATCAGGGACCCTGGAGCAAACTGGATAGTGCTTCCTGTAGCATATCAAAAGGAACAAGAGGAAACGGAAATCGTTGGCTTGGTTTGAAGCTTGGGTGAAGCTTTCTTAATTCTGGAACTGGACCATCTCAGTGCTAACAAAGATGGGTATGTCCTCTTTTCTCTGCTTGGGAAACAGTTTAGTTTAGACAAGATGGGCAAGATCTGTTTGTTTATTTATTTTTGTTTTATGAGGGAAGCCTAGGTTAGATGACAGTTGGCTCTTTTGCTGTTGGAAGTCCATGTCATTGCAAACCATTCAGTGTTGTTCAGGATGGGCTGCTGAATCTGCAGAGCATACCACAAGAGGTTTAGAAAATAAGCCACATGGCCCCATAGAAGTAAGAGCAAATGCAGTTTACTGGAATGGAATAAAGAAGAGCCTTAAGCTGGCAGTGACTTTGTCTCTGGTTCTGAGTGCCAGCTGTTGTGCCCTGCTTTACTGGGCATGACTCAGCTTTCTGAGGGCCTTTAGGTCCCTGTTGTTGAGAAAGGCTTTTGTGTAGAGCTGATGTCTTCTTTAAACTCAGTTTCTCCTTGACCAGTTTTCTTTGACACAGCACACTTAGGAGCAACAGCATTCATCATGTACGCCTCCTGAGCTGTGACTCACGCTATTGTCTTTCCTTTTCCATCAGAGTAGTTCAATCTGTATTGTGTATAGTTCACAAAACAGTGCCTGAGTCACGGGATGTGCTTTATAATTACCGAAGCCCGTGTTTAGTTTTATACAGTTGTTATGGTAGTTATAAAACTTTGGAAAAAAAACCAGTAAATAGATGTTTTCATGACTTGTGTAGATTATTTACAGTTGATAGTCTATATAAATTCAAAATTCTCTTATTTTTTTCTTTACAAATTTCTTTCATGTTTCTCATTGCATTAAACTCCCATAATTACCTTGTGCCATCTCAGTGGTCTCATAGCATAAAAATGAACTGCTTTTCATTCTCAGGAGGTTTACCATATACTGCAAGATTTTGAGATCTGAGATATTTATTTGAAAGGAAAATGAGCATAAGTATAAGATTCAAGTACATAATATTGCTGATGGGGTAGAGTCAGTTACCACTCACTGATTGAATGAGTGAATTGTTACATAAATAGATTAGACAATGCTTCTTTTATCTACAATTTTATATTGTAGATAATTGTGGATTCCTAGGAGCCTTTTTGCTGCAAAGTATCTAAGGAAAAAAAATCAACTCCTTTTTTTTTTATTTTGCAAAACAATTCAGTTCTACATATCAGCCACGGATTCCCTTGTTCTCCCCCCTCCGGCCCCCCTCACCTTCCCCCCCCAGCCCACCCCCCCCATTCCCACCTCCTCCAGGGCAAAGCCTTCCCCGAGGAGGACTGAGATCAACCTGGTAGACACAGTCCAGGCAGGTCCAGTCCCCTCCTCCCAGGCCGAGCCAAGCGACCCTGCATAGGCCCCAGGTTTCAAACAGCCAACTCATGCAATGAGCACAGGACCCGGTCCCACTGCCTGGATGCCTTCCAAACAGATCAAGCCAATCAACTGTCTCACCCATTCAGAGGGCCTGATCCAGTTGGGGACCCCTCAGCCATTGGTTCATAGTTCATGTGTTTCCATTTGTTTGGCTATTTGTAAACCAAGGTTGGATAAAAATCAACTTCTGAATGGAGAGAAGACAGAAGCAAACAGAAACAAGTAACTATCAGGTCACTTTAAAAATGTTCTAATCCATCAAATCAGTTGAGCTTCTAGCAGGTCCACAGTGGTTGCTGTGTGCTATTCCATTCCTATTTACTGTCGTGTAAATCTTATGAGTCAAAAACATGAGCTCACAGACTTGAAAACCGGGTCCCTGTTATGTTTTTTGTTCCCCATCATATCACCTTATAATTTACTACTGTAGCTACAGGCAACCTATCATCCCATTTGTTGAAGTTACTAATTTAGGAAAGAGGTTGCTCTAAGAAGCCATCATTTAAAAATGTTGGCAACAAATTTGCTAGGTCATTGCTGGCAGTAAATCTCCAACTTTGGTCTATAGCCAGAGGCAGTATCAACTTGCTGTCATAAAATTATGATTCTAAGTTCTCAAGCCTGAAAAAAATCCAATTTTATGTGCCCTAGTAGCAGTGCTCAAGCAAAAATTTACATATGATAGATGTAAACACAAATAAATAGCAGCTTTAGACTAATGTCTTTCAGCACCACCACCCCAAATCTTGATAACGAACTCCCATAACTCTATTCTTTCCATCTCAGACTTTTTCTCACAGAAGGATAACAGTAGAGTGAGATATG